AAGTATCTATGCAAAACCAGATCCCAACTGTGCAGGACCAGATCCCATTGTCTCTGCTGGAAGTTAAAACATCTCTTCGGGGCCAGATCCTCTCACCACAAGAGGCTAAGGCAGCGCTCCAGGACCAGATCCCTTCCTCTCTGCAGGAAGCTAACGCATCTCTCCAGGACCAGATCCCATCAGCTCTCCAGGACCAGATCCCATCTCCCCAAGAAGCTAAAGTAGCTCTGCAGAACCAGATCCCTTCCTCTCTGCAGGACCAGATCCAATCTATGCGGGACCAGATCCCTTCCTCTCTGCAGGAAGCTAACACATCTCTGCAGGACCAGATCCCTTCACCCCACGAAGCTAAACATTCATTCCACAGCCAGATCCCCTCCAGCCAAGAGCCAATCCCTGCCCTTCACGGGGAGCTACCGCTTACCCCACGGGAGTTGCCATCCGGCGGACCACCCGCCCTGGAGCAGGTGCCTTCCCGACCCCGGGAGAGCATGGCCCTGAAAGGAGGCGGCGGCACTGGCCCGGTTCCATCGACTGCAGAAGAAACCACCGAAAACCTGGGGAAGCTCCACCCGGAGCAGCAGCCTCTGCTCAAGGAAACCTCTGGGCTCCGGACGGGCCGGAAGGAGCCACTAGATCCCGTGGCCAGGAGCCTGCAGCCGGGAGCTGGCGCCTTGAAGTCGCTGGCAGCTGTGAGCCCAGAGGCCCCGACATACACCACCGCCTCTGCCAACACCGCCTCTCCGTGCCAGGGCAGGAGCGCCGCCCCCCCCCGGCCGGGAGACGGGCAGGAGACGGGCAGACGCAAGCAGAAGACGTGCCAGTGCTGCTCTGTCATGTGATCCCGGCCTCTGGGATGGGGCGTCGAGAGCCCCAGCCGGAGACTGGCTGATCCGAGGGACCTTGCACCAGTGACTGGGGGCCCAGGCAGCCGCAGCTCAGCCCCTGGTGTTTGAATTCCCCCGGGGAGGCTGTTCATTTGTACCGCCTGATGTTTTCCTATGGAGGGGTGCCTGGGGTAGGCAGTTAGGTTGGGGGGCACCTGTCTCCTGCTGGCAGGACATGGCTGCTGCGCTAATTTCACGTCTGATCGGTTCTGTCCCAAGCCCCTGCATAGAGGGGTCCTTTTCCTTCCGTCCCTGCCACATCTGCCCCCTTCTGGAGCTCTGAGTGCTGGGCAAAGGGGGGAAGGATGGGGGTGTCCTGTTCCTGGGTGTTCAGGGCCCCAGCTCACACTTCTGCACACGCCTGTATACATGCACGCTCGCCCCCCCCCCGCATGAATGCACATGCATGCACACACGCCCCTGCCCGAATACAAACCTCTGCATACAAACACGTGTACGCGCACCCGGTCTCCCGCACACCCCTGACTACGCAGACAAGCCCCCAGGTACAAATACATGCTCACAAGTGCACGTACACCCCACCACACACCCCCAGTACAGAAGTACGCACAGACACAATGCTTACCCCTCTGCACACAGACACTGCACATGCATCACGGCCCAGACCACTGCACTCACACACACACACACACACACACACACACATGCCCCCACACAATCGCAGGTGCACTTGGGCACACTGGCAGGCGCTTGGCCAGATGCCAGCGCACACCCAGACGTACACACGCGAGCACGTGGGCACTGCCCGGCTGCCTGCTCCCCAACATGCCTTGGCCGAGAGACCTTTCCAGAGTCGTCGCCGCACCAGGAGGTGGTGCCCCAGAAACCACCTCCTCCCACAGTCCTCAGCACAGCTTTCCAGTGCCTGCATCCTGCCCCTTGCAGGACCAAACCCCCTTTCCCAGCTCTGGCTCGGGCAGCCCTGGAGCTCAGAAAGGGGACAGGCTGGAGCAGCCGGAGCCTGAGGTATTTTGGTGTCCCTGAGGATCTGGGCATCAGTAGAACACCCTAGAACAGCCCCCAAAGCTGGGTTTGGCTCTGCCCCCCCACACCCCCTTTTAAACCGCTCTTGTTTGGAGTGAGTGTGTGTGAGCCAGGCACGCGGGCTGGCCTTGAGCCGTCCAGCAGGGGTCAGTACTGAGTGATTCGCAATTAAAGTCACTTTCCATGGGAGGCTGCTGCTTGTGACTGTGTGGGGGAGACCAAACAGCAAGTGTGAAAAATCGGGACGGGGTGGGGGGTAATAGGAGCCTATATAAGAAAAAGACCCAAAAATCGGGACTGTCCCTATAAAATCGGGACATCTGGTCACCCTACCCAGTGATGGCCTGCTGGGTGCTGTGCCCCCCTCTGCCATTTTACTACTGGGTGACGTGGGCAAGTCCCGTCCCCTCTCTGGCCTCAGTTTCCCCAACCCACCCTCTTCGTCTGGGTGAGCGTTGCCGGGCAGGGACTGTCCCTCACTGTGTGTCTGTGCAGTGCCCAGCACAGCGAGATCCAGCGCCCAGCCTGAGGGGGACTTTGATCTCGGTCGGGGTCTGTGCCCGGATCTAATAATAGGCACCAAGCTCGGGGCTGATCCCCATTTCAGAGCGGGGAAGGCTGACCTAGGGAATCGCTGCTCCCTCGGCAATACGCCCTCCCTCCCCGTGCTGAGAATAGGGCTCCTGGGTTCTGGCCCAGCTCTGGAAGACAAGTGGGGTCACGCGCATTGCAGCGGGGGGCTGGGAGTCAGGACCCTGCCTCCTGTGCTCAGCTCTCTAGTGAGTTGGAGTGGGAGGCTGGATTTCTGGGTTCTAGCCCCAGCTATGGGAGGAGAGTGTGGTGTAGTGGTTAGAGCAGGCCCGGACTGGGAGTCAGCGACTCCAGATTTACACCCCCAGAGCATCCTTGGACCCCGATGCTGTTACTCCGGCTTTGCAGCCCTGGTTCCACGTCTGGGCTTGTCTTCTCGCGAGGGGCTGCCCAGATTTCAGCCCTCAGAGCAGCCCCCGACTGCGGACGGGGGCAGCAGCTCCGAGCTGTTGTTTGCCCCCAGCGCTGCAGTCCGGGCCGTGACAGCGGGAGACCAGACTCACGCCCCGCCCCGGTCTCTGCCAGCACAGACTGTCCCGTCACCCAGGGCCCTGCTGCCGCCTTCACCCTAATGAAACCTTCCCCCAGGGCCAAATCTCCCCCCTGACGAGCTGCCAGCTCTGAGCACGTCCCAGCAAGGGCTGCTGGGCAGACGTCACCGGGTGATGCTCAGCGTCTCGCCTGAGCCTGGATTGTCCGGTTTAAACGCTTACAGAGCCGCTGGAGTGGGTGGGGCCGGATCCCCAGCTGGTGTAGATCAAGGCAGTGTCATTGGTCGTGTGGGGCTGTTTGACACCTGCTGAGTCTCTGGCCCTGGCCGCTGAATGAAATCAGTGGGAATTCAGCACTGGGAGTTTCCCAGGGGCGGAGGAGGGGTCCAGGTTTCCCCACAGGTGGGAATTCAGCACATCCCAGTGAGGCTGCGGGGGTTAAAGTCAAGTGAATTGAGATCGGATGGGGGAGCAGATCTCCCTCTTCACTCTGCTCAATAGGCTGGGCATGAAATTCAAACTGCCCCCCGCCTTGGTTTGATGTCTGCCAAGTGTTGGCCTCATGCTTAAGGTCCTCATGCTTAAGGTCCCAATTCCTGACTTATCGCCTCACTGTGTGACCTTGGACAAGTGACTTCATGGCTGTGTGCCTCAGTTTCCCTCGTTTAGACTGTGAGCTTTTCCGGGGAGGGCTTGTGTCATTGTGTCCGGGTAGCGCCCAGCCCGACGGGGCCCTGTGGCTGCCCATCATTGCAGCTGGAAAGCACGGAGGATTGTTACCAGTCAGCTGTAGCAATGAGCCTGGAACTCAGCTCCTGGCGCTGAAGGGGAATCGCTGTGAGCGATGCAGGGCCTATGACACACGGCTAAGCCAAACCAGCAGAGGGCAGTGGCGTTACCTGCGTTAGCCAGCTTGTTACAATATTAAGGGGTTCACCTCATTGGTCCCACATGCGGGGGGGGAGGGGGTCTCTTAAGGGCCGTAGTCCTGCATAGTCCAAGCAATTGCTCAGTTCAGATCCCCTCCCATGCAGGTCCCAACCCCTCCCTTCATCTGTCAGGTACACACCCAGGGCTGCACCCGCTGGGCCTTTCCTACCCCTGCCAAGCCTGAGCGCAACTCCCACCCCCCCAGCAGGGGAGGCTGCGGGGCCAATTTCCCCCCCACACTCCCACATGCCCTCCTCTGCACTGCCCGCTCACCCCGCTGAGTCGAAGCGACCGAGGCAGGCGCAGGGCTGGAGCAGGGCAGAGCTGAAGTGTCTGGCATGCACAGGGGCAGGCAGAGGGTGCCAGGGACACATGCTGAGCAGACACCTGCCCGGCTGTTGCTGGAGGAATGCTGGGCGCAGCAGCTCTGAGCCAGGGCCCTGGGCTGGGGGAGCAGAGCCCGCCCCGCCCCTGTGCGCTGCCGGGGAAGGTTGCAGCATCTCATGTATTTTGCAGCTCGCCCGAGAGGAAGGATGTTCTTGTGGTCTTGGCGTAGCAGCCAGAAGGTCGCTCTGCCGCTCTCGGAGTCTAGGCAAGCTGCAGCCGCACTCTCAGGGCCTCGGGCAGCCGGCCTGGGTTCCAGGAGCAAGTCTGGGGAATTGGGCGGCAGGACTCCTGGGTTCCCAACCCAGCTCTGGGGGGAGAGTAGGAGCCAGTGGTTAGAGGAGGGGAGTGGGCAGCAGGACTCCTGGGTCCTACGCCCGGGTCCACGACTGCCATGCTGTGTGACCTTAGCCCAGTCACTCTGTGCCTCAGTTTCCCCATCTGTAAAATGGGACTCAGGCTCCCTCCCTCCCAGCAGTCGACGTGAGGCGCTGTAATAAGGCAGCCCCCGCCTGCGGCAGGACAAATTTCCCTCAGTCCACTCTAAAGTGAACCCAGTCTCTCTTGCTGGCCAATTCAATGGTCAGGAGAGCCCAGCTGGGAACCAGGCTCCCCAGGGTCCCAGTGAACCATAATTTCCCAGTCCACCCTGCAGGGACGTCACCTCTGGGTCACTTACCCCTGAGCCCCTCAGCACTCAGGTTCCAGGCTCTCGCTCGCCCCACTGACTGACTCTTCCACCCACAATGCAGCCCACCGACAGGCCCCCGGCCCTGGCTCTCCGGGTCTGCAGGCCGGCTGCTGCGGCGCTCCTAGCCGGCCGCCCCTGCTCCTGTGGTGAGCTTGCCGCTTTCAGCAGCTTCTGAACACCAGGTGGGAGGCAGCGGGTCACAGGTGCGCCAGACCCTGCCCAGACCCTTTGAGGTCCCGACAGGAAAGCCGCTGCTTTGTTTGTGGCAATGAACGACAGGGAGCCAAGGTTTAAAACAGGAATACTGTACAAGTAAAAAAATACAGTACAAGTGCATGCTGTGGCGCTCCGAGCTACAGGACTTGAGTGTGGGGAGAAAGCTGGCCTAGGGACGAGGGAAACTAAGGGGGCTCTGATACCAGGGTGATGCTTAGATGGGCGGGGTCTGGGGTCTGTCACAGACCCTGGGAGGAGGGTGGTGTCTAGTGGTTGGAGCGGGGGGCTGGGAGTCAGGACTCCTGGGTTCTCTCCCCAGCTCCAGGAGAGGAGTAGTGTGTGTAGTGGTTAGAGCAGAGGGGGCTGGGAGTCCGGAGAGGCGCTCGGTCTCCATGGCCAGTCAGTCTTGGGCTTGTCTGCTAAGGCAGCCTGTCGGGGAGGTTGTCTAGGAGGGACCCGTTATACCAGCAAACTCAGTCCACCAGACAGAGACAATTCGGTCACCGCAGAATTAAGGCCAGAGCAGAGCCAGCACCACTTATGGGGAAGGTCTCCGTGTCCCATTCCCTGCCCCAACCTGAGCTTGGAGCCGGCGCCCCGTACAGGGGAAAGACCCCATGTCCCAGTCTTTGACCCTCGAGCAAGGCAGGCCGGGCTGGATCTCCCGCAGCGCCTGGGGCAGTGCTGGGTGGGGCTGGTGGTTCTCGCCCAGCCGCGTCCCTCAGGCCAGTCCCAGCACCTCCTCCAGGGTGGGCATGAAATGTTTCTCATAGCCAGAAATGACCGGGGCTTGCTCTCCCCACGCCTCCTCCAGGGTGGGGCTGCTTGGCCCCAGCTCCTCTGTCCTGGGCTTGCTCCCGGGCCCGTCGTCAGCCCCCGCGCCGTGGGGCCGGGCAGGCACAGGAGACTCCAGCTGTGGCAGAGTTGAGTAGCCGTGGTTCACGTGCTCTGCTGGCTCCGCAATGTCGAGCTCGGTGATGGGGGGCTCCTCCTCGGCCGCGTCCTGCGCCAAAGGACCCCTGTAGCTGTGGGGATCCTGGAGGAAACAGAGCATGAGAGCAGCCATCTCACACCCTAGCGACAAGGAGCTCCCTGCCAGAGCTGGGCATGGAACCCAGGAGTCTTGACTCCCCACCCCCCTGCTCTAACCACTAGACCCCACTCCTCTCCCAGAACTGTGGATAGAACCCAGGAGTCCTGACTCCCCACTCCCCTGCTCTAACCACTAGACCCCACTCCCCTCCCAGAACTGTGGATAGAACCCAGGAGTCCTGGATCCCAGCCCCCCCTGCTCTAACCACTAGCCCCTACTTCCCTCCTAGAACTGTGGATAGAACCCAGGAGTCCTGGATCCCAGCCCCCCCGCTCTAACCACTAGATCCCACTCCCCTCCCAGAACTGTGGATAGAACCCAGGGGTCCTGGATCCCAGCCCCCCTGCTCTAACCACTAGACCCCACTCCCCTCCCAGAACTGTGGATAGAACCCAGGAGTCCTGGCTCCCAGCCCCCCCTGCTCTAACCACTAGACCCCACTCCCCTCCCAGAGCTGGGAACAGAACCCAGGAGTCCTGGCTCCCAGCCCCCGCCCCCCGCTCTAACCACTAGACCCCACTCCCCACCCAAGGCCAGAGATAGAACCCAGGAGTCCTGGCTCCCAGCCTCCCTGCTCTAACCACTAGACCCCATTCCCCAACCCCTGATTGTCCAGGCCTGGCTCGCCCGATCTGCCTCCTTGGCCCCACTGCACAGGACGAGGGCGGATCACACACCCTAGCCCGGGCCACCCATCTCACCCTGTCCACCTCGTGCAGCGTAATCCTGCTGTGGGTGGCATCCGGGACCTTCTCCCAGCACCAGCTGGGCAGCACCTTCTGGCACAGGTCCAGCAGCCTGCGGGCGAGAGAGGGGAAGGTTTGTTTAACACCAGGGTGAAAGCTGGGGTGGGGGGGGCAGCAATGGGGTACGGAGACTGCCTGGCTGCATGGGGCCAGCCCCTGCGAGGTGTTATGCAAATCATGGCACGCCTTGATTTGCACACTTGATAAACATGCAACGTCTCATTTGCAAAAATGAGATCCACGCAGTGCCTCGTTTGCATAAATTAGAGCAATGCATTCCCTCGTTTGCATAAATTACACCCACCAGAGATGCCTTCTCCCATCGCTCTCCCAGGCACCCCATTTAAATGTAGTCCCCCAGCCATCTCATCCACTAACTAGCTCCCTGATTCCCCCCCCACGCCCCAGTCTGGGAGCCGGAGGAACAGCCTTTGGTCTCTAGGACACTGGTTTGGAGCCAGCGTCGCCCAACAGCCATTGCGTGAAACGAGTTTGGTGGATCTCAGCCCACAGTTCTGTGGCTGGTCCGATCCTGGGGGCTCAGATACTACAGAAGAGAAGGGGTTAAGGTCCGCAGCCCCCCTCGGTGCTGGGAGTGTGTCTGTCCACTGCTGGGGGGCAGGGGGGGTTGTGGGCAGTTGGGATTGAACCCAGGGCCACTAGAGAAGCTGGAGGATGTCTGTAGCCGAGCCGGCTCCGGTAGCTAATGCTAGAGCAGAATTATCTACCTCGCTCTGTGCAGGGCTGACCCAATCATGGCGTTTTCGGCTCTCTGGCAATTCCAAAAAAAACACCCCAAAACATTTTGATTTTGGGTTGAACCAAACCTGAGGTTTTTCAACCCTCCCAGCTAATGGCAAAGGCCAGACCCCACTGTTCTGGGTAGGAAAGCCTCATTCGGGGCGAATCGAAACCTTGTGATTGCCTTTCCCGCATCCCGGGACCGGTTCTGCGTTGGCGAAAACCGACGCGGAAGGACGTTTCCAAACCCAAAGCTGCTCGGAGCCGGGAAAAAGTGGAAATATTTCGACATTTAATTTGGGGGG